GTGCAGCTGGGGAGGTAGAGGTCAACATGTCACAATATTTACAGATTTTTCGATAGTTGAAAAGTGAAAAAGATAAAAAGATAAAGTTATCTTTGTAACAAGCCGTGAAGGCCCATATAGGGTTGTGAGATGTCGAGGCTCCAACAGTTTCTCTAGACATTGGCCTCACAGATGGCGGTGAGGTTGTCAGCCTTATGCACTGACCGCCCTTTACCCCCAGGAATATTCCTGCTACTCATTTCTATCAGAGTCTGAGTCAACCCCAGTGTCATAATGCGGCTGGAAGGATTAGGTCAATTGAAAAAATTTCACCCCATCAGGATTTGAATGTGTGACCTTCCGGGTTTTAGCATAGTGCCTCAACCAACTACAGTACCATGTGACCCAGTTGAAGCATACAGTCTTATTATATATTGTATCGCTGTGTACTATGGTACAAGTCCATCAGCTTTTAGAAAACATTGATGGGCTTCTCCAAAAGTGCAATGCAAGCCAGAAAGTTGTACTTTTTATGGTCCCAGCTTTGAGAACCTTGATTTCAATTTTCCTTTATTTTCTTATTAATTCATATTTCTTCTCTTGTGTTGGCTTGGGCCACATCCTGAACCTAGAAATTGATCCTGAAGATGGCGGAAGCATGTTTATCCAAAATATTAGTATCGACATACAGTACAACACAGTATCAGTACATGAAAGCGTGCAGTGTATTGCGGCTACTGCTGTGGTAACCTGAAAATTTATATGGTTAATTATCCTTTGGTGAAGTTTTACAAACACTCCCCAGCTGAAATCCACTAGTCTGCATAGTACCAGACACGTTAGTGTAGCAGGAATACTATGCAGACTTGTATTTTGGAAATTATGTAATTTGTATCTCAGCAGTTCTACTAGCTGTCATGGCTGAGTGTATTTGTGGCTTTCTGCAGTCTCAATGAAAATGCTGGTATACTGCCCGAAGTTGGTTATGAGCAACCCATTACAAGTTCATAACTATTCACCATTTATGATCATAACGCATCTTGTTTGAAGTTGTAAAATAATGTCAGATAACTCATAAATCAGTTACTGAAGATTATTTGTATCTCGAATCAAACAGGTTACTTCAGACAGAAAAATGGATGTGTAGTAGTTCTGTCAGGGTATATTGATTTATAGTTTATTTAATGACACTGTCCAGTAACTGAGATCATGTAGCGTCAAATGGTAAAGTAATGAATGAATAATGAATTGGAATAAACAGGAAGAAAATGGTAATGGCTGATTTGAAGTACTGTCCCGATATTTGCTATGAAAAATCTCAGGCAGAATAGGTAGTTTCAGAGGCATGATTGAAGCTGGAACCTCCCAAACACAAAGCACTTGGCCACGACATTCATTCATCAGTAATCTGTCAAGACGACAGGTCCCCAGTCTCTTCCAAAACAGTTCCTCCACTTGATGTGATCTAGAGCTTTCTCCTTCAAATGAAAATATCCTCTTCTGTCCCCAAGGTCATCCAGCATCTTCTTGCATCTTCTTCCTCATCTTTTGGTCACTTCTATCTGCCCCTCTGTCTCCTTTTAGAAGGCAGTTACGGCGTAAGATATGACCAATCCAATTAGCCTTCCGTTTTCTTATTTCATGTAGGATATTCCTCTGGTCACTGGCTCTAATTAACACTTCTTCCTTTCTCACATAATCTGTCCAACTGATCTTCTCCATCCTTCTCCAACACCACATTTCGAAGCTTTCCAGGTGTTTCTGATCTACTGCCGTAAGTGTCCAAGTTTCAGCCCCATACAAAGCAATGCTCCAAATGTAGCATTTCACTAGTTTCTTTCTCAAATTTAAGTCCAATTTGCTGGTAAAAAGATTCTTCTTCTTGCTAAATGCAGCTTTTGCCATGGCAATCCTAGATTTAATTTCACAAGTACACGTTTTAGGATATGCAAGATGAAATGGCTGACATGCTGGAACAAGCAGACGAGGTTCAAGAAGCTCTTGGAAGAAGTTACGGTACTCCGGAGATTGATGAAGATGAACTGGAAGCAGAACTTGATGCCCTGGGTGATGAGATTGCGCTTGATGATGACAGTTCTTACTTGGATGATGCAGTTAAAGCTCCCAGTGCACCCGACAAGGAGCCGGGCGCCGACTCCATTAGAAATAAGGTGAATATTGTAGAAAGTGCAATTGTGTCTTCATTTTGAAATGTGCAAGAATTTGTTATATCTTAAATATTTGGGGTTTATAATACTGTGATGTAGCCTCGTGGGGATAATTGAAGAGCTATTTCAAGTAAATAGCAGCTCCGATCTAGAAAATCGAAATTAACAGCCATGGGGATTCGTTACGCTTACCACGTGACACTCTCTATCAGCTAAAGTTGGCCCTAACTTCGCTGACAAGCAGTGGTCGCTCGGTTGGTACAGTTCACTTGTGGACTAAAACCACAGAGTTTGTTTGTTTTTGTTTTAACTTCTGTAAACAAAATCAAATAATACATTGATGGGTTAAGTGGTTACAGGTTCAGAACATCATCATCCTGCATGAGATCCTTGCTTTGTATTAGTTTCCATCTGTATTGCTTCGCACTTGCTCATCCGTTCCCTCCGTCATTCACTCACTGTGTCTTCAACTATAATCGTTACAGTAGTTGATAAACGTCAGTGAAAAGTACGTTAGTTATAACGTATTATGCTCTGTGTTACAGGATGGAGTTTTGGTCGATGAATTCGGTCTGCCTCAGATTCCAGCTTCATAAAAATATTTTGCTATGTTCGCAGTTTGTAAATATCCTGATACATTTAAATCTTAAAGTTAATTGAATGAAGAAGTGATTAAAAAGAATTTAGGATTACACAGATTTTGGACTCTGACCATCACCTGGTATTCAAAAGGAACATGTTTCAGAAAGTGATCCATTTCTGGCCTCAAGTGAGAGGGTGGGAGGCACCTACTCTGCTTTGCCACTTATAAAGGATTAACGTCATTTGTCCTGTGATGGACCCAACAGAGAAAGTGCCTCCTATCCTCTTAGTTGAGGAGGATGGAAGCATCGAATTTTGGAAAGTTGTGTTCATCAGAGTACTGGAGAATGGACAAAGTCCAAAATCTTAGCAATCCTGAATGTTATATACCATCGTCAGAATTCTTTAGAATTAAAAGAGAAGTATTCACTTTCACCTGTTTAAGGAATATGAATGGTATGTTAAGTCCTAGTTCTTGGAAGAAATTGTGTATGGTATATAATCTGCTGTCATTTATCCAACTGTAAAGACTTTTATGCTATATCTAAATACTTAACGGGCTGTGACACACTCTAGAGCATATAACCTGCAGAATGCCAGTGCCCATTTGCCCATCTTGCTTGTTGTGTATATGTATGTATATTAATATTGCTGGAACACTTATTACGAATACCAAACTTTTGTTATGATTAATTTCCTTTACACTATTTTCAGTGAAGTAACGTTTATGGTCCTTTGAGTTTGTCATGATACAGCGAACCTTCAACTTTTTGTGCTATCGGATTTTATTTTTTTTTTCCTGATTTTACACACTTTTCATTTGGTCCCAGCCAAATGCCCAAAAGAAAGATGTTAAATTCTAACTGCATTTTTTGATCACTCATATATTTTTCACAGATTTGCACCTCATATTTTAAGTCCTCATAATTGAAATTACCAAATTTTGTGAGTAAATTTTTCTGTTTAGGAAAAGACAAAAAGATATGGATGCCATTTAGCACATGCTCAGTGTTTGTTGTAGTGAACATATCTTTTCATGTGAAAGTGAGTGAACCTTATGGAGATATCTGTACAGACTGAGAGCTTGAGAAAAGAGGGAACTGATAAATGTTTTGCCTGATTAAAGAAAGAACATAGCATGTAGGCTAGTGCATTTGCGTTTGGATCATATTATGTTTAAACATACATATTTTGAAATGTTTTGCCCAAAATTATATGGTGTGAAGCAACTCACATTTTTCTTTTATGTTGCATCACACTCATCTCTTGACTTTACATTTATTTTATATAGTCCTTTCAGAAATATAAAATCAAGACTTCACTGTGACATGAAAATATACACAATCTCAGAATTATTGTTTTTTTTTTCTTTGGACTTTTTCTGTCATCCGGTATTCTAGAAAATAGGAAACACGACATTTCGGAAACTGGATCTGTTTCCGTCCACAAGTGAGGGGTGGAAGACATCTACTCAGTTGGGTCCCTTAGAAAGTGCTAACTTCTGAGGGACCCAACTGATTAGGTGGCATCCCAACCCTCACTTGAGGACGGAAACAGATCCAGTTTCCAAAATGTTATGTTTTCTATTTTTTAGAATACTGGACTATGGAAAAAGTCCGAAAACCCAATAATTCTGAGTATTATATACCATTGTCAGAACCATTTAGAATCTACATATATAGTCTCACTGATACAATAATCAGACTTGCATTACACTGAAAATGTTTCTTTGAAACGTGACAAAATGCAGTACTTCACTGTATCATTACTGCTCCTGGGATATTGATAACTGTTTTGCCTCCTTTTAATTCAAAGATTGTGGGACGCAGTACAAGGAGCAGGGCCTGATTTATGAACATCATGTAACTGATCCAAACATCAGTACTGCAGAGTACATAATTTTGTGGGTCTCATAACAGTTACTGTTTTTCAGAATGTGACGGCATGTAGTGTGGTGTAAAGTTACCATTATTTTGAAGGAATCTGCTGCTTCTGTCTTCAGGGTAGAATACTGAAAGTCTCTTCTATCCTGAAGATGGAGACAGCAGGTGTGTTTGAAGTGTTGGTGACTTCCTTCCAGACTACATGATGTTTTACCTTATTTTGTATTTTATTAATTACATTTGTTTGGAAGAGTTCTAGGCACTGTATCAGTGGATATTGTAGTAGAAGCAAAAATCAGTTCGGTTCACCCCAAGATATAATTAAGAGTAGTTTCTGTTGTTGGATTTGAGGTTCTTACAGTAGTGCTTATGAAAATTCTTATCTTCTGGAAAGTGACACCATGAAGTCTGGTGGAAGTTCACTGACATTTTGGAGAGAGCTGCATGTTGGTTACTTGCCTGTCTTAAGCTTCAGTGATAAAGATACATTTCTTCAAAATAATGAACTTTTACCAGAGAACTCATCAGCATATCCCTAAGAGTATTTTCTCTTTTCTTGTATGTGTTCTGCCTCATCATCTTGTACTGTATGTGGTGCAAAGAAATTGTGCTTTTGGACTACAGACAAGTTCTCAAGTGTATAAAATGATTTTATGGCTGGTTTCCAGAGACAGCCAGCAGGAAAATAAGAGATCAGTGCGCTGTGAACAGGTCCACGAATGGAAATCTTTCTTCTTAAAGAACTTTCAGACTTAAAATTGAATTATTTGAATGAAGACAATATTTCAAATTACATTTGAACCCCTTATTTCATAAGATTGTTGTTTTGTAGGATGTGACGCCATGTAGTCTTATAGGTGGATACCAACATTTAGGAAGAACATGCTGCTTCTATCTTCAGGGAACCACTTCCATTCTGAGAATGGAGGCAGCAGGTCCCTCCAAAATAACAGAACCTATCTACTGGGCTATACAGCGTCACGTGCAATAATCTTTATAATTGCTGCCATGAGAACTTCAATATCAATGTAAGAATTGTTTGTTGGTTATAAAGTAGCAGTCTTCTCTTTTGCTTTATGGTACTGCTGGAGCTTCTGTGTAAAAGTAATTTTATGAGCAATTTTCGGTTAATGCTGGTGCGAAATATGTATCTTATATATCAGACCTAACTTCAGCTGTATGAATGTCTAATTTATCTGTAATAATTTTACACTGAGTTAGTTACACTTATATAATAAAATCTGTAAAAATACTTTATGTAACGCATTGCTTTTTCATGTGTCCTCAAAAGCCCATAAACTGTACATTTTAATAAGGAGAACTGTTTAAGATTTATTTTACAATGCTGATGACTGTAAAGCAACAAATGGTTAGTGGTCAGTGATAGGTGAATGATGAATTGGAAAGAATTTGGGGAAAGTCGCCATGGCCTAATTGAGATGCTGTCTTTTCATATGCCCGGAGGGACTCAGAAGAACCACAGAACCCTGTAGTTAAGGTAGCCATTTGGCCTGGCCAAAATTAAAATTACTTTATTAAGGGAGAGAATAAAAACTGACGTATTGGTTTTATGAATGTAGTTTCACAGTATTTTCTTGCACAAACTGAGGAAGGGGCAAGAAAACCGTCTAATAAAGAGGGTACTATTTAAACAGAAGCGGGACCGATTAGAATGAACCAAGTCATTAATGGGGTTTAAGATGTCCGGATTCGAAACCATGAAATAACACGTCCGTATGTATAGTGCATGAGTTCACATGTAGATGGCAGAGGAAGTAACACGTCTATAAAGAAGGTTTCAAAATTGTGTATAGATGGCAGAAGGAACCTAATCAAATCGCGGAGCATGTTTTTGATATTATTCGTGAGATAGCGCAGGAATCAATTTGAAAGTAATGGTGTGAACGAAGGAATGGAAATTGAACCAGTTGATTAAATTAAGTGAAGGAAAGATGGCAGAAAGTAAGGGAGCGTTACTCGCAAAATCGGTACAAAAGCATGCTGGAAGAGCGAAAGAAAAGGTAAGACTCAGTTGACATTTCCATAGAGTTATAAATAATTCAGCTGCATGTAAAAATTTAACGTTAAATGCTGTGTAGACCGTCATTTGATAGATACACATGCACATTTCCATAAGTGGTCTGCCTGTGGTAAAACTACTGTACATTTGTAAAACATTGACTGATTAATTTGTTTGTTATTATTACTAATTATTTTAACGTTCATTTAACTGAAGGAATATAAAGTTACTCCGGACACGTAACGTACTATAGATACCTTCATAATATTTTCGCTGTGAAGGCCGAAGGGAATGTTTGCTGGTTCGCATTTGTAGTTAGATCACTTACTAATTCATTTTGACTAAAGTGGTTCGGCGATAGTAAACAGGTATGTAGAAGCGTTATATATAATCGGTTTTCAGGAAATATCTGCAAATTTACTAAAAGTATCCGTGATTGTGTGTAAGATCTCTGTATGGGGTTAGTATTTTTGGAAAACTTAAAACATTAAATGACCACGTTTCTGTGTAAATCAGATAAGTATTTTTTTCCGTATGTGTGTGCGGTCTCTGGATAGAAGCATTTTTCTCTCTCCCGTTCATAGCATTTGAACGGATTTCTACAAAAGCAATTGAATCAACCGCCTAACGTTTTGTGTCCATCCCATAGCTAGGCGACTAATTCGTTACGGTGGAAAAGAACACAAAATCTCCACCTCTTATTATGACTCCTATATTTCCAGTGCAGCATCCCAGGTCTGTCGGTAAATGTGAAATCCTGTTTGTATGCATTTATATCATGCCTTAGATTCTGGTTTATTTTTAGTTGCTGTAGAGACTGTTATTAATTATACAACATTTTGAGTAGGAAGGGCACTTGTGTGCATGCACGCCGTAGTTGTGGCTTTTGGTTCGTTTTGGTAACAAACTGTTGGTAATATGATCATGCATGTTACGTGTTTTGTTTTAAACGCGGCTGGTACCCGCTCGCGTTCATGCGAAGTTGAATTGCGTTTGTTCACTTTTATGATGTACATTGCTGTTTCAGGTTGTCAGTTATTGCCGTTTTTAGATGTACAAAAATTATCAGTTTTTGAGCAGATATCGTAAAAAAATAGAAAGTATAACAGAATTATAAAAGAGCCTTATTCGGATTTAGCCATAATTACGTGATATATATACAGTGGGTTTATCGTGTATTTTATGTTTTGCTAAGGCCCATTCATTTTGCGATATACAATCTGTGTTAGAAACATTCTAAGTACATAGCTGGTTTATTTATCGTATTGTTAGCACCCCGACATGTTTCGGTCTAATGAGACCATCTCGAATACCAGATAAACTTATGTTTTTAATAAGCAATATGCTGTAGATCGTAAAAATAAGAGGGAAAGCCCACATACCACTATGTTATATTTCCAGACACTCAAAAAAAAATGAGTACAAGGGAACAAAACCCCAACGTATTCACAGAATGCAGTGAAGACCGACATTTGTTTATTTTAACATAATATTTATTTTAATATTTTATAGGAATTTGTTACTCGGATTTTAAATCCTAATTTTTGTGTATGTGAATTGTAAAGTTTTCTCTTAATAGGTACACGCCCTGAGGATGTCTTAACAAGAACGAACGAAACATGTATGCGTAGTAATAACACGAGAAATAACCCGGTTATACTTAGATGGTGATTTTCATGTGACTTTATCACATTTTGTATTTAAAATTAAAATATTGCACTTTTCTCATCAGTGTTTTCGTTTAAACTGTGAGAAGTTTTCGGAAAGAGCCACGATGTGGCAATATATTATGCATGAAACAGTTTTGTTTTCATGATTGACGTTGTTAATGTCCTGGAAAATTGTTTTAGTACTGAATCTATAAAGAACCGAGAAACTTAAATGGTGCATGCACATCTAATGCCTACAGACAGGAAAACAGCTCGGATTTGACGTTAACTATCCTGTGACTGGGTTGGGGTGCTCGCATGTAGTCACCGACGCTACGAAAAGGGGGCGTAGCCACGAGCAAAGGTCAATATTACGCAGCAAGTATTCACCAGCATGTGTGTGTTGGTGGTATTGCTCGTATAATTATCTGCGTTCACGTGGTTTATTTACTTCTTATGCAAAGTTTACACCGATAGTTTGATTAGGTACGTCAGGGGTGTCGAAATTGTAGACCCAGAAAACAGTGGCCTGGTTACATATGAAAAAGTCCGCGCCATAGCGCGGTTAGTCGCTGGCTTCCCAAAGAAGCGGCCCGGGCTGGATCCTGGATCCTGGATCCTGGGTCTGGTCAAGTGGGATTTGTGGTGGACAAAGTGGCGCTGGGTCAAGTTTTCTCCGAGTACTACGGTTTCCCCTGCCAATCTTCATTCCACCAATTGCTCCACGATCACCCTCACCTATCGTCTGGGGCTGGTACAATAGGCCAGAAGTGGCCGCAGTACAAGGGACTTAGTCCCACCCCACTAGCAATAAAAAAAATACATGAAAAAGCGTCGATTTTTTTTTAAATCTTGCAGCCAGACAAATTTTATTGGATATAATCACAGTGGTGATCATGAACAGTACTATCATCCCTGAAGGTGGAGGACGTAAGCTCCTTTCCACATAACGAAATGCTGTTAAGTTGTCCTCACTGAGACCAGTAATCGCAGGCCTGTACGAAAGGAAACGGAAGTTCACGCAGTCTTTTGTAATATGACGGTGTGTAGTTCAGTAGTTCGTTAAAAACGTTCGCAGGAATATGTTGCCTCCATCTTCAGGAACTATACGCGTGTCATATCCAAAAGACTATCTCCTATAAGGAATAATATCCTCTGAATAGAGTTTACTGACGTTTCGGAGGAACCTATTTTCTCCGTAAGTTCCCCCAGACTTCGGTAAACTTTTGTCAAACTACGCGTCATCTTCATAAGGTCTTAGAATCTCAGATCTCACAGCCGTTTTCGTGCGTTGTTATGAAAAGTGGTAAAAAAACCTCATAAGCTGGTGCAAAGATTCAGATGTTCTGCGCTACAGTTTACGAATGCCACACACAGCCAAGAAATGAAGGTGATGTTGTCCTGTGACACAACACAGGATGTTTCATGCTCATAGGTTACGTAACATTTCCATATCACGTAGCAGTATTCATTTTTATGACTGTACTTAATGGCCTACCGTAATTATGAATGTTTCATTAACAGTATAGACCTCTTTGCCGCTTTGTATATGAGAAAGACTGGGGGAGACCCATGGGATGCCCCAAATAGCGTTAAATACAAAGCAAGAGGCGTTGTTACACGATGTGGTCGGTGTTTGTTGGTAAAACGTTCTTTGTGCGTTTAAAACATTACGCCATGAAGACATATACGATATTGGAGGCTTAACTCCATAGATTCTTAACCTCGGCGCTAGTTGCGGAGTCAGTTTAGACACGGAGGCGAAGATAAGAACTCCTGCTTCAGGTGGGAATCGAACCCCGGTAGTCCGTCCCATCGCGTAGTCCTTATACCGACTGAGGTGCCCCTGCTACGGTATTAACATTTCATGATTAGTTCATGCACATGTAACTGAGCAAGGTGGATCAGTCGGTAAAGCTTCTAAATTCGGAAGGTGTGAAATCTTGGCCGGGTCACAGACTCATTACTGAGGTTTTACATGGGTTTCCTCAGACTTCATTCAAATTCCAAGATCGTACCTTAAAATAAGGCCACGAACGATTCCTTTCAAGTCCTTTCAAATTATTTTCTGTCTACGAATTATTGATAGCCTCGTTAAATTAATCCAGATAAATATTGTCACATGATGGAGTGAGTATAGACTGGGTTTGGATTTTTAATTGGATTATTGAACTCTTACAGATCCCTGAGTACAAGTAATCATAACCGTTTTACCAATTCACGCACTTTGCAGTTCACTAGAGCACACACTTTAAGTCTTCTCAGCCTGCTGTCTCTTCACAGGTTTTCTGGTAACGGCTTCCAACAACGGGCACTTCCATCCCTCTCGGTCCCCGAACTGTCCCCTGCCTCACCTACAGCAACTCTCTACTGATTCACTCTTGATTTGTCATATTTATGACATCGACACGGACCACAAAGGAAACGCCGTTCCTCTATTGCTCTTTACGGGTCCTTTCCCTGGCTCTTTGTTTCGCTGTCGTTGTCTAGCAATGGGCGTACATGCCACAATATTGTGAAGTGACGGTTGAAAGCCGGAATAGTGGAACCGGAGTTAGACGTCCGTTACTGAGAAACGGACGGAAGTCACGTTCCCGTTACAACGAACAGAAGCCAACGAGTCGTTACGAGGTAACAAGTTGCAAAACATAAGATTCCACTGACGACCAACAGGACTGAAGACAGTTAACTGTGCGACGTGCGGGCCGCCTAGCGGTTATAAAAGGCAGTGGGTTCGTGAGTCAAAGGATCGAGGATTAGAAGAGATTAGATAGATCAAAGGAGCGGTAGAGATCAGTCCGAGATTAGTGAGAGATTCGTCAGACAGACGTCGTTCAATGTGTGAGCTGTTATAATTGACTGTAAATGTAAAGAAGTGTCGATAAACACAATCCAGAACCAAATATTATTACTGACACAAACCCCCAATACGTGACAATATGTAAATACTGTTTTATTTTGTTTTTGCTGGAGAGAACTCTATATACAAGGATCGGCTAGGCCCATACAATTTTTTTTCTTCCTTTGGTGCTGCAGCCCCAATTTGGGCCTTGGCCTACCTCCATGAAACTCTCCGTTTCACTTCGGTTTTACTAGATCTTAGACATAAGGTAGGACTCCTTGGGCGGGTGATCAGCTCGTCGCAAGGCCTCTGCCTGTACACAAACACAGAAAAAGCACACATACACTTACACACACTGAACATCCGTGCCCTGAGTGGGGTTCGAACCCACGATCCCGGTTTCCGAGCGAACGAAAACATTGCATGCCTAGACCGCTAGGCTATCGTGACCGGCCCCGTACAAATTATGAAACTTAAATTTTAGATAGAGTCAAACATTTGCTTGATACC